GCGCGTCCCTGGGAGCGGGGCGGCTCATTGACTGGTAGGTCCCGCGCGGGGGCGGACGGCCGGCCGGCGTATTTTTAACTTCGCTGGGCGTCCGAGGAGGCAGCGAGCAGCCCGGCCGGAGTTGCCGCGCCGCGTTGGTGACTGACGGCCCCTCCCCTCCCCTCGCAGGATGCGCGGCCGGGGGGGCGGCTTTTCCACGAGAGGTCCCCGGGCGCGCTCCGCTTCGCCTCCAGCCGCCGCCTCCCGCGGGATCCCGGACGGGGCCGAGGGCCGAGGTTGGTGAAGCCGCCGGAGCGGCGTCTGGTCTCGGACTCGAGCCATGGGGGGCAACCTGGGCTGCCACCGCTCCATCCCGCGGGACCCCTCGGACTTATGCCACAGCCGCAAGTTCAGCGCGGCGTGCAACTTCAGCAACATCCTGGTCAACCAGGAGCGGCTGAACATCAACACGGCCACGGAGGAGGAGCTCATGACCCTCCCGGGGGTCACCAGGACGGTGGCCCAGAACATTGTGGAGTACCGGGAGTACATCGGGGGCTTCAAGAAGGTGGAGGATTTGGCGCTGGTCAGCGGGGTGGGCGCCGCCAGGCTGGAGCAGGTGAAGTTTGAGATCTGCGTCAGCAGCAAGGGGAACTCGGCCCAGCACTCGCCCAGCTCTCTGCGGAAGGACCAGACCCTCGACCACCTGTCTGCCGCGAAGATCAACATCAACACCGCCACCTCCGCCCAGCTCATGAGCATCCGTGGCATCACGGAGAAGATCGCCAACGGCATCGTGGAGTACCGGAAGGAGCACGGGCCTTTCAGGAGCATTGAGGACCTGGTCAAGATGGACTGCATCAACTCTTCCTTTCTGGACAGGATCCGGCACCAGATCTTCGCGGAGAGGTCGAGGCCCCCCTCCACGAACACCAACGGCGGCGGCCTCAACTTCACGGTCAAGCCCCACCCCAGCCCCACCTCCCTCAGCCTCCAGAGCGAGGATTTGGATTTCCCGCCTGGGGGGCCGACTCAGATTATCTCCACCCGGCCCACCGTGGAAATGTTTGGCGGGGTGAGAGATGGGAAGCCCGTCCTGAGGGTGGCCACTTGGAACCTGCAGAGCTGCTCTGTTGAAAAAGCCAACAACCCTGGCGTGCGAGAAGTCGTGTGCATGACCGTTCTGGAGAACAGGTATGGGGCTCCAGCCTGACTTCTGGTGCAGTTTTCACAAATACTTTATTTCTATTCTTGCTTGCTTCAGCTCTTCCACGTCTGCGAATGAAATGTTACTGGCCCATAGTGGATACTACCTGTTTTGCAAGTGGTATAGCCTCATCCTTAGACTCATATGGATATCTGTGCAACTGTACCACTGTTGTACATAATCAGTGAATACATAGGCCTTATGTTACAGTTGCAGTATGATTTGAACCCAAGCGTATGTCACAAAAACCTTGTTGAAGTATGTGATGTTGGCAGAAACGTGCTCCTTTGGTCGTGCCTCCAAATCAGTATTGCACATTCTATAATGTTCATTATAGATCAGTAGGAACATCTCTTCCCAGGGTGTGTCGCTTGTATAGGATCCACTTGACACTTTTGGCGGTTCTAGGCGAACTCTGTGGCGGTCAGGTTGTGGCAGGACAAAGAGAACTGCTTTGCTCAGTTTGGTTATATTCTGTAGCAGAGATAAGTAAAGGCGCTCTCCCTCGCAGTTCTTATTCGCTCCCAATTTTTCCTTTCTGTCTCTCTTTGTGACCCAGTCCAACCAAGAACAATCTTCCCTTCCTTTTTTCTTTTGGCAGGTCTGAGCCGTTTTGGTCATTTTGCTCTGGTTTAAGCCTGAAGAGGGGTGATGCTCAAAAGCCCGTTTATCACGTATTTCTGCCAATAAGTTTGTGTTTGTGGTTTTTTGCTGTGACTGGGCTCTTGCTCTCTTATGGGCCAGGGGCAGATGGTCATTTTGCTCTGGTTTAAGCCTGAAGAAGGGTGATGCTCAAAAGCCTGTTTATCACCTATTTCTGCCAATAAGTTTGTGTGTGGGTTTTTTTTTTTTGCTGTGACTGGACTCTTGCTCTCTTATGGGCCAGGGGCAGGTCCAGATTCAGCCGCACACATTTGCTGCTGTCATTTGTGCCTGACCCGACCTGGATAGCCCAGGCTAGCCTGGTCTTATCGGATCTTGGGAGCCAAGCCAGGTCAGCTTTGCTTAAGACTTGGATGGGAGACCGCCAAGGAAGGCGGAGGTGGCTCTGCAGAGGAAAGCAAGGCCAGCTCTTTTCGACTCTTGCCTTGCAAACCGTGTGTGTGTGTGTGGGGGCAATGTTCCCTCTAAGCTGTGGAGTCTTGTGAGCAAAACTTCAACTTTGTGAGCTCCTGACATTAAAGCTGTGAGCGAGTAATTTGGCTGCTGCATAAATTAGTTTGCTCTGGAGCCCTCCTTCCTGAGCAGGGACAAAAATCTGTGAGCCGAAGGCTAAAAAACCGTGAGCTAGCTCACACTAACTCAGCTTAGAGGGAACATTGGTGGGGGGGTCACCATCAATGTTCCCTCTAAGCTGTGGAGTCTTGTGAGCAAAAGCTCTACTTTGTGAGCTGCTGGCATTAAAATTGTGAGCGAGCGATTTGGCTGCTGCATAAATTAGTTTGCTCTGGAGCCAATCCTTCCTGAGCTGAGACAAAAAATGTGTGAGCCGGCGGCTAAAAAACTGTGAGCTAGCTCACACTAACTCAGCTTAGAGGGAGCACTGGTCACCATCAGTCAGCTGCAACTTGACGGCACCTTCCACCACCAGTCTGAGCCTTGTCCAGTTTTCTTTGGCTTTAGGAGCCAGACTTATTTTTCAGCCTTCAGGGCTTTGTGTTTTAACGACCACGCTGTCTGATTCTGGATAGCGCGAAACCTAAACTCGTCTCAGTTTCTCGTCATTTTTTAACAAGCTGTAACCACATGACCACGGAAATGTCTTCGGACAGTGCTGGCTCTTCGGCTTTGAAACGGAGATGAGCACCGCAACCCTAAAGTCGGATTTGACTGGCTTTCGAGCAAGGGAACCTTTAACTAAAGTGTTGCAGCACATAAACAAATGGGGGGTTAACCCTGGTTGTCATCGCAACAAAAAACTAACTTCTGCCTGCTGCCTAAATAAGCTTTGTAACTCTACTAAGAATCACAAAGATGTGCTTACAGTAAATCTGCTGAAAATACTATGCATGACATTGAAAGTTCTAGGTGCCAGGGCACCCCAGTGCCCGAGATTGATCGAGTGCTATCGTAAGGGTATAGCTTTGGGGGTCCAGAGGATTCAGGCTTCTTGGAATCTTGCGGCACCTCAGTACTGATGTGAATATCACAGGTGTTCACGCTGTAATGTTTTAAAAAGTGATGGCCCATACGCATGGGGGTTGGAGCTTACCGGCTTTTCTGCTTGTGAAAAAGGAAAGAGGGGGATCCCTTTTGACACCCTCCCCAAAGGCCATGCTGGGGTTCAAGGGACCTGGGTTTACAAAAGCCACGTGGGATGAGGGCTGTAGAAGGGAGGAGAATTGGGTGAGGCTGGCTGGATCCAACCCATGATTTGTTTGCCACTTATTCTGCATGCCTAGTTGCCACAGAATGCCCCAGCTGTGTTAGGTTCCCGTGCATACAAATGAGCACCTTTGGGAGGCCTCCGTGTGTCAGTGTCCATGTTTAAATCAGCCCCGATGCAAACTTGGCAAGAGAGAGGGGGCCTGTCTGTGTGCTGAGCTTGTGCTGGCAGAATGTCAATCCTCTTAGCCGTATTTTGTCCATGGTATTGCGGGGCAAAGGCTTCAGGGCAGAGACTTGTTTGTGTGGTCAGAGTTTTGAAGGGCCGTTAGCAGCATTGCCCCATGATGCAGTTAAGGGGTGGTGGATGAGTAAGAGATGCCGTCACACTTTTCCCCTTGTGTATTTTAGCATTTTTGTTAGATGAAAAGTACTCTGGTGCCTGGAGATGTGTGCGTTTCCATGACAAACGTTATTTGAAATGAGTGTTGTGGTGCATCAGAAGTTCTCTAAGGAGTGACCATGAGATTCTTCATATGGCAAGAACCTCCTTCCTGGCTCTCTTCCCACCTCCGCAAGAAAAAGTAAATTCTCTCTCTATGCTTCAAAAAAACTGGTTTCTGAATATGGTGCTATAACCATTTGTGCTTGTTCCAAGGGGAAAATGCACAGAAAAAGTGCTACGAATAAGGCGTTGTAGATCAATGGGTCTTCACAACTGTATTCTTAAGTTTCTGTCTGCACTGCATCATGAAGTTGAGAAAAGGGTATTTGCTCACGAGTCTGCAGTGCAGAGTGCAACTTGTGCAGCATGTTTTTTTTGTCACAAATGTGAGTGTGCTGGAGCAATAAAGCTTCACTGCCCTTGTGTTAAAAGGAACTAATAGGCAATTCTCGTATTCTGTAATTAGAACCACACTGCAATCCTCTTCTCTTACGACGACGCAGCTCTGTTAATGACCCGGAGCATACGAGAGCCTTGTGTTTGTGCAGAAGGCATTTCTGGCTTTGAAATCTTGCAAGGGAAATAGAAGAAAGGCCGTGGCTTCCTAAAGCCGCTGGTCTTATTTTTATTCATTTATTGTAGGCATTTGTACTGTGCCCCTCAGAGAACAGATTTCCTGGTGTGGCCTGCAAATGCTGAGAACCTATGTGAGGTAGGACTCCAACACAGCCTGGGGTGGTTGTGGAACTGAGGATGACTGCCTCGTTTGGTGTTGGTCTGCAGGTTCAGAAATTCATATTTTGTACTTCTAAAAGTAGAGGAAATTGAGACATGATGTATTGTTTACACTGGTCAAACTGACAGCCTGTATTGTACCCTCAAACAAAACCTGTACAATGATAAGACCCACAGAGAAATTGCAAGTAACTGCAATGGGAAAAGCAAAATCCAAAAAACCTTTGTCTATTACACTCTAAATCTTATCTCATTGCGTGAAAGTCTTATGGAAAGCAATGGAACTTGCATTTAGGATTGGGAGCGTCAGTTCCCGCATACCACCTTTTAGTTTAAAATCTGCTGCTATGGATCATCCTTCGGAAGTTTGTCAGTGTAATCCATACATGTTTTTCCTTGGAAGTAAATCCCATTGAAATCAGCAGGACGTCCGCAGTATAGGATTGCAGCCTGAATGTTGAACAACCTCTTCAGAAATACGACAGGAGAAAGACCTCCTGGTATTGTCCCAGTGGCAGGTGGCATCAGTTGTATTTGCTTCTCCACACCAGAAAGTCCCAGCGTCTAGAAAACTAGTCTGTCAGGGAGAAGGCAAGCCAGAATCCTTCCCTGTAATATGCTAGCTTTCTCGGAGAAAGGAAGTTTCACATGGGGGAACATCCCAACAGCTCCCTTCATCTGCGTTTGAAGTTTTGAAGTCCAGGAACAGCTCAATGACGCGATAGCTCTAGATTTGTCATTCTGCTGTAAATAGGTTTTTCCATTTCAGTTGGGATATAGGCTTGGATAAAACGTACCTAGAAGAAATTGCAGCCTAAATCCTGGTAATTATTGGCGGAAATGCTCAGTGCCCAGCTTGATCATGTCGAGGAACATGACAAAGGCTAAAAAGGCTTCTTTATTTTCCTTAGCTTTTGAGATACTCGATTCTTTACTGGGCCTGCCCCCTCTCCCTTTCCTAGTCTTCGACCGAAGGTCAGGATGGGGTAGCGGTTAGAGCAGGGGTGGCCAAGCTTGCTTAACATAAGAGCCACATAGAATAAATGTCAGATGTTTGAGAGCTGCATGACACGAACCAATATTACAGACGTGTTTTCAATTGAAAAATATGCAGATCTGCTTTTTATTACCATTAAATGAGACTGCCAAAAATGAAAACAAAAGGGGTAAAAATAGATGTTGGTAATGATATTTATTTGTCCAATGATAATTGTAGGCTGGGGTGGTGGTGGTGCTTTGAGAACGCATTTAAAGTTAAAGTTGCTTTCTTTCTCTGCTCCTCCCTGCCTCAAGCCTACCCAGGGAGGAGAAGACTGGCTGGGGAAGGGAAGACCGATCGGGGAGGCATTCCCTCCCTTTCGCTTCCCCAGCCGCCCTGCTGGGAGCCACACAATATATGTGTGTGAAAGAGCGGCATGTGGTTCCCAAGCCACAGTTTGGCCACCCCTGGGTTAGAGCATCAGACTAGGGTCTGGGAGACTT